TACAAACTAATAGCATGACTAAGAATGAAAAACCCACGGTACCCGAACCAGATTAAAACTGGATAAGTTTTTCTTTTACAGACCACTTTCAAGTTTTACCACAATCAAAGAAAACAGAAAAAAGTCGAAAGACAAACCCAAACCAAAAGACTTTATTTTTGAGAAAAGGACACAACCAAAACAAAAAAGAGAAAAACAAGTAATAAAAACGAAACAAAAGGTTGAACACAAAAAGAGACTGTACACAAAAAGACCATAAAAATATACCCCACTCCTGGCCTCACCAACCAGAGGGACGTCCTGAGCATGCTCTATAGCCGGCCTAACCCACCGCGCTACACCTCGCTTTGTGACCCACACTATATTTTGCCAAGAGTTGCTCTAGTGTGAGCGACTCTCGAAAAAATAACCAAACTAAAGTAAAACGCTTTTGCGATAACAATTGATAACAAATCATAACTAAAACTTAATTAACAAAAAGTTATTATAAATGTAAACCATTAAAGCAGAATGTATAAATTTCTTAGAGCCCAAGGAACGAGCAGAAAATGAGACGACAACCCAATCTCATTCCAGCTTCGGAATGGCAAATCTATTCGATTAGCTGCCTAAAGTCACTACCCTCAAAGGGTTTAAAGTATGGACTCAACATCGCAGCAAAGGAAAACCATTAAACCAGACCACTGGCAGTCTCGATGTTGACTACACGTACCAATTCTAGTCACTTGGCACTTCGGAAAAGCCAAACACATCATTGCATCATTCAAAGTCTTGACACAATCACCCAAGACTTTCAGGATCAACAAGACCCATCTAGAAACACGAACATGACAATCTTCCTTCGTCAAACACAAACAGCCACACTTCTCTTTCCTCCAAAAAGCCAATGCTCGCAGCTTCAAAAAGAAACTACATCATCCGTCCTTCACTACATTAAATAATTAAAAACTAAAAACTCTCTAAGCCCCGGATGGGTGAAACCAGTTCTGAACTAGCATTTTTAGACGAATTATATTTATGATGGAATATCCTTATAAAATATTTATAAGTAACCAATCATATTTCATCTCTAACATTTACTTTTATTTGTAAGTGCTGAAGATACTTGTAGTTTCAGCACCAGCATAATTTGAAATAAACTTTGAATACAGTTGTTCTCCTTCTGGCCTCACCAACCAGAGGGACGTCCTGAGCATGCTCTATAGCCGGCCTAACCCACCGCGCTACACCTCGCTTTGTGACCCACACTCTATTTTGCAAAGAGTTGCTCTAGTGTGAGCGACTCTCGAAAAAATAAGCAAACTAAAGTAACACGCTTTTGCGATAAAAATTGATAACAAATCATAACTAAAACTTAATTAACAAAAAGTTATTATAAATGTAAACCACTAAAGCAGTATGTATAAATTTCTTAGAGCCCAAGGAACGAGCAGAAAATGAGACGACAACCCAATCTCATTCCAGCTTCGGAATGGCAAATCTATTCGATTAGCTGCCTAAAGTCACTACCCTCAAAGGGTTTAAAGTATGGACTCAACATCGCAGCAAAGGAAAACCATTGAACCAGACCACTGGCCATCTCGATGTTGACTACACGTACCAATCCTAGTCACTTGGCACTTCGGAAAAGCCAAACACATCATTGCATCATTCAAAGTCTTGACACAATCACCCAAGACTTTCAGGATCAACAAGACCCATCTAGAAACACGAACATGACAATCTTCCTTCGTCAAACATAAACAGCCACACTTCTCTTTCCTCCAAAAAGTCAATTCTCGCAACTTCAAAAAGAAACTACATCATCCGTCCTTCACTACATTAAATAATTAAACACTAAAAACTCTCTAAACCCCGGATGGGTCAAACCAGTTCTGAACTAGCATTTTTAGACGAATTATATTTATGATGGGATATCCTTATAAAATATTTATAACTAACCAATCATATTTCATCTCTAACATTTACTTTTATTTGTAAGTGCTAAAGATACTTGTAGTTTCAGCACCAGAATAATTTGAAATATACTTTGAATAGAGTTGTTCTCCTTCTGGCAACTAACTCACATAAACCAGTATACACTAGATCTGTTGAGATTAGGAGATATAAGTGTAAGATTAAGATTGGTATTAGACTAAGAAGTTGCACGAGTCTATCCGGCCGAAACTAAGATGGCGTGACGAGCAAACGGTGTACCTTATCTGAAATTACTCTATGAGTACAGTCAATAGTACATAACTCACTACAGTTTTTTTTTACTGGAAGTCTGGAGAAATTGTGCATTCGGGTTTTTTAGTTTTTTCACACTAAATCAGGTACTTCAAACATTCATTGGGTTGGGTCGGGTGATATAGTGGCCAGTCATTAAGCAGAATGGATCCAAGAGCAGAAAAAGAAATGTTTTTGATGGGAATAATCTTTCACGTGATTTACTGAAAAATGCGGCAAATTCTGTTCTTAAATAATAAAACATTGTAGTGTAAAGATAGAATTTTTGATTAATTTAACAATTGACTTCTGACAAGTAATCAAAGATAATTCATGATATAAGAACAAAGAGTCTTGAATATTGGCGACCACAGACAAGCAACAATAAAAGTCCTCCACAGCTGCCTCCAGAGAGGTTCACAGTCTACAGGACATCTTCAAGGCCAGCAAACAGTGCCAACATTCTCCAAAAATCAGGGGTCAAGTCAGAGGTCTCAGAGGGTCCCCCATCTGTGTGAACAGGTCCTGTCCTCTACATCTTCAAGGCCGGCAAACAGTGCCATCTCTCTCCAAAATTCAGTGGTCAAGTCAGAGGTCTCAGAGATCCCCCAGCTGTGTGAACAGGTCCTGTTCTGTACATCGTTAGGGCAAACAAACAGTGCTAACATTCTCCAAAATTCAGGGGTCAAGTCAGAGATCTCAGAGGTCCACCAGCTGTGTGAACAGGTCCTGTCCTCTACATCTTTAGGGCCAAAATTCAGAGGTCAAGTCAGAGGTCACTCAGCTGTTTTTCTCCGTACTCAGGCCAGATTGAACTTTTTCCCCTACATTTTACCCAACTGTATACTCATATCCATTGCTCTATACATCTCATCAGCTGAATTTCATAACTGTGCTAATTTATTTAAAAAACCCATGCCCATAGTGCTAATTAGGCCACAATCGCAACATATCTCCAGACTCCTTTTTAACTGTTAATATCCGGGGTACCAGGGTAGTTTTATTTTAAAAAAAAAAACAGGATTTCCTGAAAAAAAAGAGATTTATTAAACATATCCTAACGCAATCAATGTAACTTACACAAAATTTTAACGAAACTCGTAAAAACATATGAAAGCCTATAGCGTAAAATTTCCATTAAAAACATAAACCAGTTGGGTCTACAACGTATTCTGATCTTGTTCAAAAGGTGAAATTGATTTCTCAGCCACGTTTCACCGCTAAAAAAATCATCAACAGTACTTGTTATTTTATAGTCGAAATACGAGATACTTCATAGTTTCTTAAAAGCTTATAAAAGCCCTATACGAAATACGCACGCTCGTAGTGCCACCAACAGGACCGTTCGTATCTTTTGTCCAAAAAAACAATTGATACCTACATCTACTTTCATCCATTTCATAACTACTCTTCTAACATTATTATACCATTCCTATAACCTTTTCACAGCTTTACATGGCTGCAAAAATCTCACAACAAGCGCTCATAAATAAATGGACGTGTCGCTACAGTTCTTTAGAGAGCCTGAACGACAACTTAGCAGCGAAATTGCATAATCATTATGCCCTTCAGACGAGGCATATGGCCCTTGGTAAGGTTGTTGAAATGTTTACCGGTCCTGATGGCATTGCACGCTTACGCGTAATCAAAACAGCGTTAGGAACACTTACTAGGTCCGCGGTGAAACTAGCTTTAGTAGAACCAAAACCGGACTTTTAGACCTCAGTAGCAATTTAATACCAAACCCTATCCCTTCTGGTCTCCGTAACTAATGCCCTCCCCGAGGATATTCATGATGTGAATAATATTTCACGTGATTTACTGAAAAATGCGGTAAATTTTATTCATAATTAATAAGTTATTGGAGTGTAAAGATAGATTTTTTGATATAACAATTGACTTCTGACAAGTAAACAAAGATAATTCAAGATATAAGAACAAAATGTCTTGAATAGAATTCATGCATAATTTTTTGTTTTTCTAAATATTATTGACTAATCTAATTTTTTTATCAGATTTTTCTGCTCCTGGATCCATTCTGCTATTAGACTATTCTGCTTATGGGTCTAGGACAACAATCCGACTGGGTTTCAAGCCGAAGGCGCTTCAGGCCGAAATTTAAACTCAACAAACCTTAAATCACTTGTTTTTATCAGTAAAACGTTGCTTAACAAAAATTTAGGCAGTTTTTTTATTGCTTCGCCTCGGCATTGCATAAATCAAAAAAACTAATTTTTTGTTTTTCTGCACTTGATTCATTGTGCTCTTAGACAATTCTGCATAATTGCGAGTAAACTTATTTTGAAGCCTTTTCCACGTTTAAACGTTGTCAAAAAGTCGAGAATTTAATTCCTCCTTTACCTGAAAACTGCTCGTATAATCTTATAGAACTTTAAAAAGGAAATTATCTTCTATGAAACGTAAATTCCTGCTTCAGTCTGTTATAAAGATACACAAAAATCAAATAAGCGTAATTTCAACAAATCATTCGCCGTTTATTCAGAACTAAAATGTGGAAATCATCAATTCTATGTAAACTTCTGCATTTCAGTCAGTTTCAAAAATCAAAGCTATAAGTTCAGCAAAATTAAAACAGCTATAATATCAAGATCAAATCAAAAAATAAAATAATCAGTTCAGTTTGCTAAATGTTTTTATTCAGATATCTTTTCAAGACCATAGATGGATGCAGTTTATTTCTTTCCCTTCTTAGTTGGCGATGCCTTCTTGGTTGGCGACGGACTGCTCTTCACTGGCGACGCTTTCTTAGCCTTGGGCTTCGTCGGCGAAGACTATTTACTCGGCCGTCCTCGCTTTTCTTCTGGTCCAGATCCTGCCAGTCGAAATCTCCCCTGAGCAGCAGTCGTTTTCTGCCCAACTGCATGTTGGAGCTCCTTGGATTCCAGCATCGAGCGAAGAGTCCGATTGAGGGTGGCATTACTCCGGCTGCTTTCCTCGATCGACCATTTGTCTTGTATAAACTTCTGAATAGCTTTCTTCGAAGCACATTTTCTTTCCTTCAGATCGGTTATGGCCTGTTTTACCATCTCTTTGTAGCTAGGATGCGTCGTTCCAGGTTCCTTTGCTGGTGTTTTGGGTGCAGCCACTGGGCTCTTGGCTTTCTTAACGGCAGGCATATTGGAAGAAGATGCAATTTATTTGATTAATCTCCGAGAACCAACAAATTTCAGCAAGAAAATGAGCAACATCAGTTGATTGATTTCAGAATTGGCAATTGAACACTGTGAGAAAATGTTTCTCCTATTTATACTTGCAAGCTCAACCGGAACGAAAACGTTAATTTGTACGTTTCTGTACAAACACATCATTGCGAAACTCGTAAAACTTCAAGTTTCAAGGTCACTTTTGATGCCTGTTTGACCTCGAAGCGGATTAAATTGTACACTATAGAACAACACCGCTAAAAAAATCATCAACAGTACTTGGTACTTTATAGTCGAAATACGAGATACTTCAAAGTTTCTTAAAAGCTTATAAAATCCCTATACGAAATACGCACGCTCGTAGTGCCACCAACAGGACCGTTTGTATCTTTTGTCCAAAAAAAAACAATTGATACCTAAACCTACTCTCATCCATTTCAAAACTACTCTTCTAACATTATTATACCATTCCTATAACCTTTTCACAGCTTTACAAGGCTGCAAAAATCTCACAACAAGCGCTCATAAATAAATGGACGTTTCGCTATAGTTCTCTAGAGAGCCTGAACGACAACCTAGCAGCGAAACTGCACAATCATTGGAGTTAGAGGATGTTAAAATAACGGCCAATGAGCTTTTGAAAAGCCTACAAGAATTTTTCTTTTATATATCAGCTCCTCATTTTGGTGGGGTGTGGGAACGTCTCGTTTCAATCATCAAACGAGTCTTTCTGTTGAATTTAGTATCGTATAGACTTTCCATGGATCTTTTTTCAACTATTGTAGTAGAATGCGAAGGCCTCATCAACTCAAGACCACTGAACCATGTAAGTTGCGACATTAATGACACATTACCACTTACACCCAACCACTTCCTACTTGGGAGACCATTCGTTTAAGATCCTGTAGCTTCAATCTACGACCAAACAAACACCATCAAAATAGGCAACAAATCCTGGAAGCTAACCAAGGACCGACTAGACAGCTCCCGAAAGCGACCACTGACAGAATACGCTCCAAACTTGATCAATCGAACCAAGTAGAACCAAAAAGAGGAAATCATAGAAAAACACGACCTCGTGTGGATCCTCGAAGACTTTACTCCACGAGGCATATGGCCCTTGGTAAGGTTGTTGAAATGTTTACCGGTCCTGATGGCATTGCACGCTCATGCGTAATCAAAACAGCGTTAGGAACACTTACTAGGTCCGCGGTGAAACTAGCTTTAGTAGAACCAAAACCGGACTTTTAGACCTCAGTAGCAATTTAATACCAAACCCTATCCCTTCTGGTCTCCGTAACTAATGCCCTCCCCGAGGATATTCATGATGTGAATAATCTTTCACGTGATTTACTGAAAAATGCGGTAAATTTTATTGATAATTAATAAGTTATTGGAGTGTAAAGATAGAATTTTTGATATAACAATTGACTTCTGACAAGTAAACAAAGATAATTCAAGATATAAGAACAAAATGTCTTGAATAGAATTCATGCATAATTTATTGTTTTTCTAAATATTATTGACTAATCTAATTTTTTTATCAGATTTTTCTGCTCCTGGACCCATTCTGCTATTAGACTATTCTGCTTATGGGTCTAGGACAACAATCCGACAGGGTTTCAAGCCGAAGGGGCTTCAGGCCGAAATTTAAACTTAACAAACCTTAAATCACTTGTTTTTTATCAGTAAAACGTTGCTTAACAAAATTTTAGGCAGTTTACTTCATTATAAGTGTTATTTACGACCATGAATCACTTAGGATTGGCATCCCTTAATAATATCAGCCAGTTTTTGAAATGCATAAATTATAAACAAGAAATTTGCCTTCAGCCGTGTTTTTTTTTCAATTTCTAAACATCATTTGGAGGCTTAAATTTTATGTAGACGACAAAAACTACTGCAGAAAGATCATGAAATTGAGAATTTTTTTGAGAAAATTTTTGGCTTGAAGTCCCCAAGTTTACGATTGGGATTGAAGTCCGGTCGGCTTGATGGCCGGCACCCTCTGCTTATTGCTCCGCCTCCGCACGGTGGCCAGTCAATAGGCAGAATGGTCTAAGAGCAGAAAGGGTCCACGAGCAGATAAACTTGAAAAATATCAACTTTTTTAGCTAATCGGTAAATTAATTATCAGAAATGTCATTAATACCAGAAGGTGAGTCTCATTTGTACCAAACCAACGTTCATTTGTACCAAAAAAAAAATCGGTCCCATTGGTACCAAAATTATTCAACTCGATTTCTGATTGGTCGAATTGTGAGCCAACGAATTATTACATCAATTTTCTACTGTTCAAACAGAAGAAAACTAAACAGCAGAATAGGGACCGCCGCAGTCGCGCCAACGTGTTGCGAGCTTGCCAACAGGGTAGGACTCTACGAAAATTAGAGCCGGATATCAGCTTTAAGTAGTCGGCTTAATAGTCTTAGGCCAATTGAATATTTTTGGTACTAACGCAATTGATTTTTTATTTTGGTTCAAATGGGATTGATTTATCATTTTGGTACTTGTGAATACTCACCATACCAGAACAACGAACATTTTACGGATAATTTGAGTAATTTAATAAAGATTATTTAAAAAATAAACAGTTTAATCAAGAACTTAGGATAATTTACTCATTTTCATGAAAATTTTTGACGATTCTAATAATTGTTTTATCAATTAGCCCGTATTACCAAACTATCTTATATCAGCAAATTCACGATTATTCACACAAGCCGAGCTACCACTCTCTACTCTAATGAGAGAATGTACAGCTATAATTTACACACTTAAAGAATACGAATTTCTGATACTTGGATCAAAACACCCAACAGTTCTCTTCACAGATCAAAAACCAATTATATTTCTTTTCACACATATTTCACATCCAAACCATAGAGTTTATAGATTTCAATTAGTTTTAATGAAATTCCCAAACTTACATATAGTTTGGACAGCAGGATTACCTAAGTCAATATTTTTTGTTTTTCCGCTCTTGGACCCATTCTGCTTATTGCTTCGCCTCCGCATTGTATAAATCAAAAAAGCTAATTTTTTGTTTTTCTGCACTTGACTCATTGTGCTCTTGGACAATTCTGCATAATTGCGAGTAAATTTATTTTGAACGTTGTCAGTGTCGAGAATTTAATTCAATTTTTTGAGTTCAAGTCGAGCGAGCGAATAACCTCCTTTACCTGAAAACTGCTCGTATAATCTTATAGAACTTTAAAAAGGAAATTATCTTCTATGAAACGTAAATTCCTGCTTCAGTCTGTTATAAAGATACACAAAAATCAAATAAGCGTAATTTCAACATTTCATTCGCCGTTTATTCAGAACTAAAATGGAAATCATCAATTCTATGTAAACTTCTGCCTTTCAGTCAGTTTCAAAAATCAAAGCTATAAGTTCAGCAAAATTAAAACAGCTATAATATCAAGATCAAATCAAAAAATAAAATAATCAGTTCAGTTTGCTAAGTGTTTTTATTCAGATATCTTTTCAAGACCATAGATGGATGCAGTTTATTTCTTTCCCTTCTTAGTGGGCGATGCCTTCTTGGTTGGCGACGGACTGCTCTTCACTGGCGACGCTTTCTTAGCCTTGGGCTTCGTCGGCGAAGACGATTTACTCGGCCGTCCTCGCTTTTCTTCTGGTCCAGATCCTGCCAGTCGAAATCTCCCTTGAGCACCAGTCGTTTTCTGCCCAACTGCATGTTGGAGCTCCTTGGATTCCAGCATGGAGCGAAGAGTCCGATTGAGGGTGGCATTACTCCGGCTGCTTTCCTCGATCGACCATTTGTCTTGGATAAACTTCTGAATAGCTCTCTTCGAAGCACCCTTTCTTTCCTTCAGATCGGTTATGGCTTGTTTTACCATCTCTTTGTAGCTGGGATGCGTCGGTCCAGGTTCCTTTGCTGGAGTTTTGGGTGCAGCCACCGGGCTCTTGGCTTTCTTAACGGCAGGCATATTGCAAGAAGATGCAAGTTGATTGATTTTAATCTCCGAGATCCAGCAAATTTCAGCAAGAAAATGAGCAACTTCAGTTGATTGCTTTCAGAAATTGACAATTGAACACTGTGAGAAAATGTTTCTCCTATTTATACTTGCAAGCTCGACCGGAACGAAAACGTTATTTTGTACGTTTCTGTACAAACACATCATTGCGAAATTCGTAAAACTTCAAGTTTCAAGGTCACTTTTGATGCCTGTTTGACCTCGAAGCGGATTAAATTGTACACTATAGAGGAACAGGCTATAACTTCCAATCGGAGAAAGCAAAAAAATCAGTTATTGTTAAGTTAGCAATTGGAAAACAATCAATTTAAAGAAGTAAGGGGGCGAACAGTCCGCCTAAGAAAAATTATTTTATCCCAAAATTTGAGCCGTGAGGCCAAAACAGCTGTTTTTGGTGTAAGCTACCTGATAGAACTCTCAAAGAGGAGCATTTTTCAAAAAAAAAAACGCTGGAAAATGTCGCTGAAACAAAAGCCTAGCTCATATTAGATGTTTTCGAGTTTACAGAAATTGTTTTAGTGCGGAGTAAATTTATTGTTTAAACATGAGTAGCAAGCAGTTGACCCTGGAAAGCAAAAGCCGAAGGTCGGTCGTCACTCAAAATGTCTACACCTTGACCACCCAAAAGTACTACTGCTTTCATAAGTTTTCTGTTTTTTTTTGCTGACCTACTAAAATGTTTTCCTGCCTTTAGCGCCAATATACTCTAAAATTAGCGATTTCATTAATCCGCGATTTTATTAATCCCTCTTGTGAACGGGTGCCGCGGAAATCAGATCGACGGGACTTAATCTGGATCTACTTAACAATCTCTACCCCTTTCAAGAAAGGGGGCGATTGTTAAGTAGATACAAATGGTCGATTTTTCGACCAATCAGAATGCAGCAAAATTAGAATTCTCAATAGAAAGCTCAGTGCTAATTTACTGTATTTATTTATAGGGGTGGAGATTCTTAAGTAGGTACCATAGGGGAGGAGATTGTTAAGTAGATCCCTTAATCTGAATCGTAAAATTAGGGACTGCAATATTTTCTCAAAAAGTCACGAAATATGATTAGTTTTAAGATTGCTTTGAACAATTTCTCAAGCCCTCTGGTCGAGGTTGTGGTTTTATGATCGACCAAATTTTGGTATTATCAGAATGTCGCGACCGAAATTGGATATTTTCAGACCGCTGCGATCAAAATTTGAAGTTTCCAGACGTTGTGGACCGAGACAATGTGTCCGCGGCCAGTGCGACCAAAGGAAAGTTAACCGAGACCACCGGGACCGAAGGAAAGTTAGTCGCGGTGGTCGAAAATTAGTCGCTGCGGTCGAAAAATTGGATCAAGTTAACATCCTCCCCCCTAATAGACCAAGTTAAGATCCTCCACCCCAGCGCTTAAATTATATTAAATTTGCTAAGCGCTGCATGTAAAATGCTCGATTCTGAGTGTCTGAAAATTCCCAACTTAGAACCAAGTTAACATCCTCCCCCCTAAACGTGTTTAGGGAGGAGGATGTTAGCTTGGTCCGAAAAATTAGTCGCGGCGGTCGAAAAATCAGTCGCGGCATTGTCGAAAAATTGGTCAGACGAAAAGTCATCGGCAATCGGTGTGATCGAAAGAAAACAAGACTGCTCGTATCAGGGCGAAGCAGTAACAAGACGAGCAGTATCAGGACGAAGCAGTATCATAGACGAGCAGCAACAAGACTGCTCGTATTATTACTGCTCGTCTATGCTGCAATATTTTCTCAAAAAGTCATGAAATATGATTAGTTTTAAGATTGCTTTGAATAATTTCTCAAGCCCTCTGGTCGAGGTTGTGGTTTTATGATCAGAGGGTCGCGACCAAATTTTGGTATTATCAGAATGTCGCGACCGAAATTGGATATTTTCAGACCGCTGCGATCAAAATTTGAAGTTTCCAGACGTTGCGGACCGAGGCAATGTGTCCGCGGCCGGTGCGACCAAAGGAAAGTTAACCGAGACCACCGGGACCGAAGGAAAGTTAGTCGCGGTGGTCGAAAATTAGTCGCTGCGGTCGAAAAATTGGATCAAGTTAACATCCTCCCCCCTAATAGACCAAGTTAAGATCCTCCACCCCAGCGCTTAAATTATATTAAATTTGTTAAGCGCTGCTTGTAAAATGCTCGATTCTGATTGGCTGAAAATTCCCAACTTAGAACTAAGTTAACATCCTCCCCCCTAAACGTGTTAAGGGGGGAAGATGTTAGCTTGGTCCGAAAAATTAGTCGCGGCGGTCGAAAAATTAGTGTCACGGTGTCGGAAATTTAGTCGCGGCCAGAGGAGATTGTTAAGTAGATCCCTTAATCTGAATCGTAAAATTAGGGACTGCAATATTTTCTCAAAAAGTCATGAAATATGATTAGTTTTAAGATTGCTTTGAATAATTTCTCAAGCCCTCTGGTCGAGGTTGTGGTTTTATGATCAGAGGGTTGCGACCAAATTTTGGTATTATCAGAATGTCGCGACCGAAATTGGATATTTTCAGACCGCTGCGATCAAAATTTGAAGTTTCCAGACGTTGCGGACCGAGGCAATGTGTCCGCGGCCGGTGCGACCAAAGGAAAGTTAACCGAGACCACCGGGACCGAAGGAAAGTTAGTCGCGGTGGTCGAAAATTAGTCGCGGCGGTCGAAAAATTGGATCAAGTTAACATTCTCCCCCCCCCCCCCTAATAGACCAAGTTAAGATCCTCCACCCCAGCGCTTAAATTATATTAAATTTGTTAAGCGCTGCTTGTAAAATGCTCGATTCTGATTGGCTGAAAATTCCCAACTTAGAACTAAGTTAACATCCTCCCCCCTAAACGTGTTAAGGGGGGAAGATGTTAGCTTGGTCCGAAAAATTAGTCGCGGCGGTCGAAAAATTAGTGTCACGGTGTCGGAAATTTAGTCGCGGCCAGAGGAGATTGTTAAGTAGATCCCTTAATCTGAATCGTAAAATTAGGGACTGCAATATTTTCTCAAAAAGTCATGAAATATGATTAGTTTTAAGATTGCTTTGAATAATTTCTCAAGCCCTCTGGTCGAGGTTGTGGTTTTATGATCAGAGGGTTGCGACCAAATTTTGGTATTATCAGAATGTCGCGACCGAAATTGGATATTTTCAGACCGCTGCGATCAAAATTTGAAGTTTCCAGACGTTGCGGACCGAGGCAATGTGTCCGCGGCCGGTGCGACCAAAGGAAAGTTAACCGAGACCACCGGGACCGAAGGAAAGTTAGTCGCGGTGGTCGAAAATTAGTCGCGGCGGTCGAAAAATTGGATCAAGTTAACATTCTCCCCCCCCCCCCTAATAGACCAAGTTAAGATCCTCCACCCCAGCGCTTAAATTATATTAAATTTGTTAAGCGCTGCTTGTAAAATGCTCGATTCTGATTGGCTGAAAATTCCCAACTTAGAACTAAGTTAACATCCTCCCCCCTAAACGTGTTAAGGGGGAAGATGTTAGCTTGGTCCGAAAAATTAGTCGCGGCGGTCGAAAAATTAGTGTCACGGTGTCGGAAATTTAGTCGCGGCCAGAGGAGATTGTTAAGTAGATCCCTTAATCTGAATCGTAAAATTAGGGACTGCAATATTTTCTCAAAAAGTCATGAAATATGATTAGTTTTAAGATTGCTTTGAATAATTTCTCAAGCCCTCTGGTCGAGGTTGTGGTTTTATGATCAGAGGGTCGCGACCAAATTTTGGTATTATCAGAATGTCGCGACCGAAATTGGATATTTTCAGACCGCTGCGATCAAAATTTGAAGTTTCCAGACGTTGTGGACCGAGACAATGTGTCCGCGGCCAGTGCGACCAAAGGAAAGTTAACCGAGACCACCGGGACCGAAGGAAAGTTAGTCGCGGTGGTCGAAAATTAGTCGCTGCGGTCGAAAAATTGGATCAAGTTAACATCCTCCCCCCTAATAGACCAAGTTAAGATCCTCCACCCCAGCGCTTAAATTATATTAAATTTGCTAAGCGCTGCATGTAAAATGCTCGATTCTGAGTGTCTGAAAATTCCCAACTTAGAACCAAGTTAACATCCTCCCCCCTAAACGTGTTTAGGGAGGAGGATGTTAGCTTGGTCCGAAAAATTAGTCGCGGCGGTCGAAAAATCAGTCGCGGCATTGTCGAAAAATTGGTCAGACGAAAAGTCATCGGCAATCGGTGTGATCGAAAGAAAACAAGACTGCTCGTATCAGGGCGAAGCAGTAACAAGACGAGCAGTATCAGGACGAAGCAGTATCATAGACGAGAAGTAACAAGACTGCTCGTATTATTAGTGCTCATCTATGGAGCAGTAATAATATGAAAAAATTCAATGTAATAAAATAATATAAAATTTAAAAAAAATTAAGATTTTTTTGTAAAACATCCCCCACACGCCATATTGAAATCAAAGTGATAGATTTTGCTCCTATTAACAAATCAATTTTAGCATATAAGCTTCCTGGAACCAATTTGGAAGGATTTCTAAGACGGATTAAATCTCCGCTTACGCGTTATTTGCGCGAAACATATCGCGCGTAATTTTCACAAATTGGCCAAAACGGCAATGTTTAAACCCCCATAACTTTACGAAAAATGATCACAAGTGAAATAAATATCTTTTCAAATTTGAGTTCAAATCAACATTAGCTTTCGAGTGAAATTTAAAAAAATGTCTAGCTGAAAATTCGAAATTTGTCTGAAGAAAAAACCAACCCCGAGCACAAATATTCCGTTACTTTCGTTACGACAGTCGGAATAATAATCAGAAATTGTCGCCACCGAAAAAAAGCTAACAGCAATAAGAGAAAAAGACTGCTCGCATATCAGGGCAAAGCCCTGAACGTTCCGACTACCCCTTAATTCATATCGAATAGTTTTTGGGAAAAAATATTGAAAACCTATAATTTTTGGACAATATCCAAGTGTGAAACTTTAATACGACCAATTAGCTGGCCTCACTTCAATTGGGA